CACATACGCAATATACTCTCCAGTCAACGTGTGCTCTACAGCGAATGCTCGCTGCAGTATGAAAGTCCTATTTAAGTAATCCCTTATCGTTTTACGAAATTCTTTGTAATAGACTACTCGCTGCCACTATATCTCTCGCATCAGATCCCAACTCCCGATCTTCAGGAGAACACACACAACGCTATATTCTCCCGCATCGTTAGGAGGCTATTTCACAAGCCCTCATAAGGAGCAAAAATTGTAAAGTACCTTACGGTTTCTTTGCAAGGCACTTTTACATTCTTACGATTTGCGGGGTAGGAGTGAGGTAAGGTGTGACTAGGCTCCTCACCGTAAGGCTCCTTAATAGGGAGTCCTTGCCCTACAAGGAAGGACTCCCCACGTAAGTCGATTTCATAGGAGATATTTCGAGCCCCCTCGTTGGTGCCGTGAAACTGCTCCGGTGGAACATTATGGCACTTTATCGCACCGGCCTTACCATTCTCGGTTGTTCGCTACGCTTTTTCCCGCCAGACCACGCGTCTCGCGGCGAGACACTCGTACGCGGATGTTCTGTCCCTGAACCAAGCAATTAGATTTCATATTCGACTTGGCGCTTCAACGTTGTACGGTGATGACCGATTGTTCTCGAGCGAGTTGATGGTAGTGTTTTTGAGTTTGCTGTACTCAATGGCCATAACCTTATTTTTGAGCTTCATCGGAGCACTGCGTCGACTTTTTCATACGCGCCGGTATGCTCTATACTCTTAAGCTGAAGATGCACCTCGCGGACCTCAGTACGGAACACGAGGTGCAACTATAGTGAAAGCACCTCGCGTAAGGTGTAAGGCTCCTTGTCCCTTGCTCCTAAATTAAAGGTGCACCTTTGGGAGCGTTTCTTGTGAAATAGGCCTTAGGGTTCCACTCACTGTCTGCTTCTACTCTGAGCAAAAATGAGCTTGAGAGTTCTGGAGCGAAGCGGCGTACATATATCCATGGTTAGAAGTGTTACACTCAATAAGTGGCAAAAATACAGTAACTATATACATTCATAACTTTCCTGTCCATTTTACACAATGGGCAAATCCGCTCCTGCTTCTCATACCCGACTGCATTTTTATGTTGCTGTAAGCCACTTGCCAGGATTGAACTGACGACCCTCTGCTTACGAAGTAGACGCTCTACCACTAAGCTAAAGTGACACATACACTAACTATATAAATTCATAGCTTTACTTCACGTTCCATAACTCATATTGGGCGAATCGGATCTACTCACGTAGTTAACGCAAGGACAACGTGTAGCATACATACTGACTACAACTGTTAGTTATCGACGGGATTGTGAATATTACACTCAATCTAAAAGACCGTTGCCGCAAAAGGCAATAACTGAGCACCGCTTATCCTACTTTGCCAGATAGACTCGACTCATAACGCTGTTGTGGTGAAAAGTCAAGAAAATCATCGCAATTTTTGCGAACATGAAAGAAAGTACATCGCTTAATCGGAATGGTCTCCTCACGCAGCTATCTTCGCATAATCATTCCGAGCAGCCTCTATCACATCTTTGTCGAGGGAACCTGTAGAAATTCAAGGCCTATCTATTTTACTACAACTACTACCTTGACGTGGGTAAGCGGTCCACTTAGGTTCGTTGGT